ACAGAACTTGTAGAACATTATACAAACGAGGCTTTATGTTTTCCTGTTAAAGTTATGGATTGGATTCCTATGGACGGTTCATTCTCAAAGAATACAGATAGTTCAAGTGCAACATTTACAGCAGCTTATACGCCTATTAATGTTAAAAGTATTTGGGCACTATTTAGAAAGAAAGACAACTATTATGTTAATTTTGAGAACCCTAAGTTTAAATATCTTCAGCTTTCCATGGGAGCTTATGGAAATATGCCTGCAGAACCTGAAAAATCATATGGACCTGTATTTTATGAAATGGTTGCGAACGCTGCAATACAAACAATGATATGATGGATTTAATGAAGATGTTATGAGGTCATTGGTGGATGATGGTAGTGTGGAACATAAATGGGATAGCTATGACAACACACATTTCTTATGTGGTTTTCCAACAGAAGTGGACTTTTGCTTCCAGCAAGGTCAAACATCTACTGCTCCAATAACATACAAATTGTCTGTTAAAGGACCTATTGAACTAGCAACTGAAAATGTACCAAAGCCACTTATTGGATTTATGAGGGATTGTTGCTTTGCCATTCAGGTGCGTGCTAATGGCATCCCCATAATAAGACTGACGACTATAACTTAGCTACGAACGACAGTGAGGAATAAAGGATGAACGTTTATTTTTAAAGCTTATAAATGAGTTCTTCATCAAGCTCTCGTGAACCTTCACCATCTATGAAACAAACTTTACCAAACGATTATGGAGCACCTATTGAATATTTCTTACGAGCTGCACAATGGCAAAGAGCAGTCTCACCAAGGTTAGGTGTTCCACCAGCTCCTGTCAAAAATAGCATTTGGTCAAGTCCTTATATAAAATATGGTCTCCCACTAGGTTTGCTAGCTACAGAGGAGCAGTAATGATGTTGAAAAGAAATAAAGCAAATGTTGTAAATAATACTGAAGTAGCTGAAGTTAAACAAACTCCGACACCTTCACAAGCAAAACCTTCAATGACTCCTGAACCTATGGAAGTACAAACTCCTGTTCAAAAGTCAACTCCTAAACCGACTCCAACATTTAAACCAGAACCTACTCCTCAAATAAATCGTAAAACTCCTGCGTTTCCTTACTGAAAAATAACGTTATTTTTATTTAATATTAAAATTTTTATTTGATTGAAATGACAAATAAAGTCACTGAAGCAATGAAACAAAAGTTTTTGGTAGAATACATTAAATCAGGAACTATTCCAGAAGGTTTTTACATTCATACTATGAAGGATGGTAGAGTTCAGTTTAGAAAGATAAAACAACCATTAGATAGAGAAGGAATTTTGAGAAAAATTAAACTTCATGAGGACAACATTGCTAAACTTAAGAAGAAGTTAGAAGAGTTGGAGAAAGGAAGAGAGTTATAAAGTAATGAATTCAAGTGGGTAGAAATGAGGTTAGATATCGGGTTAGATCTAACCTTCTACCCTAAATTTATTTTTCACCTCTGACAACGTTTATTTTTTCATTAGTGAGTTCGTTAGTGAAAACGTTAGTGTGGGTGAAAAACCGGGTGAAAAAAGAGGTGAGATTTCACCACTTCACCTAAATTTATTTTTGTGCTATGTTTTCATACGTGTGAAGGTAGTGATATCATTTATTTTAAGTTTATTTTATTTTTACTGAAAATTTTTATTTGGATGTAAATGACAGAACAAAAGCAACTCATTCGAATTCCACAGTATAACAAACATACATTTAAACATTTATTCTTCCTTCCTGAGCATAACATGTTCTTTCAAATACATCCGAGACCAGTTGACTTTTCATTGACTGTGTATAAAGATTGTCATGGTAGTTTTATAAAAACTTATGATGATGAAGGTAAGTTACCAAGACTATGCATTTCAAAACTTGAGAAACTTTATGACTTCAAGTATGACTACAATAGGGTTAACACTGATGATGAAGATATTGAGGAAAATTTATGAGAACGTTTATTTTTTCATTAGTGAGTTCGTTAGTGGGTGAAGAGGTTGGCGGCTTTGTAAATATTTAATGTTAAATTAGTGTTGTCGTTTGTGTTGTAAAATATACGTTAGCGGTTTCGTAAAGTGTCAAATTCACAAGTATTGGGTAAGGTGGAACGCAGTGCCACCATACCCAAGATATGTTTACTAACTTTTGCATCACATGCTACCCAAAACCTTTGATCCAAGCAGGTGAGGTCGGTGTTGTTCCTGATTTCACTCTCATTCATATGTATAAAGTTGGAAAGAGCTTTCTTGTACTCATTAGCTATGTTCTTGGCCGAACTTCTCTTGTAGAACCTCGCTTCTGCTTCTGCACGTCTCGAAAGCATCTCGATCATAAAATCGTTGAAGCTGTACTCTTCCACTTCTTGCATTGACAGAGACGCCCATTCACCAAGATTCCTGCCTAGTCTCCTCCTTGGTTCATTCTCTTCAACTTCTTCATCCTGAGCAATGTCTTCTGCATCTACTTGGCCATCACCTTCAATTGCTTCGTTCTCAATCTCGGGCTCTTCTATATCTAGATTTCTGTCCAATTGATCCTCTGCCACTTCATCCAAATGATCAGGGGTGTAGCTCCTTGGAGGGATTTCAAGTTCAGCATTGATAGGTATTGGTTCTTGGAAGAAGAGTGAAACGTCTGGCTTGTACTCAGTATGCATGTTCAATTCTGCGCGGATGACTGACCGGCCCCATGGAGTTAGACCAAAGGCAAATTTCATCAAAGCGTAGTTGCCCTGTTTGTCAAAAACTTCATTCATGTTGGCGATTAATGCATCTGCAATGCGTTTTGACGAACTTGATAATTCAGGACGATTTGCAATTCCGGTCAACTGCTCAATCGTCGATTGAAACATTGGATAGATGTAGCAGAAGCAGCCAACGTCACTCTCTGCATAATTCAAGAGTTTCTTGATTGGTAAAAGAATCTCTTCGAAATTTAACAACCATTGTGGAAGTCCATCCTTGAAATCAATTCCCATATCCCTTAAGATCTGAACAGATTCCGGTGGATCATCCATATTGAACAATTCATAAATTTTAGGGTGTTTTTCTTTTATCCACTTCAGAAGATCCCAGAAAAACATCCAGCGATGATCCGGAACATGAATAACCCTCATATTCAATGCCCTTCTCGTGTCCGGCTTCGATAACTCCTTGCTTATCGCTTTGCAATAATTAATTTGCATTGCGAAAGCTGCACAATTGTCTGCCGTATGCTTCACCACTAAGTTGAGGAGATGCGCAACACATCGGATATAAACGGTTTGAAGACCCGGATATAGTGCTCCGCATCTCCTCCAGTGGCACAGCCCTTTAACTTGGGCGGGGCATCCATCGGCAACAATTGCAGAAAGGAAATCCTTTGGGAAGGTAAAACATTCAAAGAAATTATTGTAATCCCTGGCATTCCAACCATCAGCGATCATAGTATCAATGAAGATATGGTTCTTCATTTTTGCTGGATTGCTAGCCATCACAAAAAAGCCATGCCGGCTTCCGTGTGATGCCGCATCAATTGTTATCGAATAGTAGCCCATCTTGTCAAGCTCAACGTGTATTTTTGGAGCTACCAAGTCGGCTAATGTAATGATTCCATCCCTTATCTCGTCTCTTCTATATGGGATCTTGAGTTGAAAATTGATTACTCCCTTGAAGGTGGAGTAGACATGTCGGGCGAAATCTTCTAGTACACCTGAAGCGGCCATATTGATTGACATGTTGGTATCCACAACAAATTTTACAACATAAAGTAATTTTCTATCTTGTTTTATTAAATCTCTTCTCGTATATGGATTATTTTCACATTGTATTTGATATATATGCTGATGATCTTCATCAAATTCTGATGGTTTTCGATGATAAATGCAGCGCATATATGTTTTTGTTAGTAAATTGTAATGTATCGCTAAACAATAACAATAAAGTCTTTTTCGTTCTTTCGATTTTTCGCTTGTATCTGGAAGATAAGCAATATTGAAACATACTCGACATTTATTATTAGTTGAGAATTTAGTATCCTCGAATTTTGGTAAGGGAGGTACTTTTCGAGGGATATTTTTGGGAGGAAGTTTGCAATCAATCCATCCCTCAAATTTGGATTCATATTCATATTGTGTTTCAGTCATTAATTCTTAAAAATAAAAAGGGTAAAAACTAAATAAAATGGGTAAAATTCAATAGTGTCTGTGCTATCGTTCAATTTGAAGGTGTCTTTTGAAACCGCAAGACACATTGAATTTTTGAATAGTGTATTATGGTTTGACAGACACCAATGAAAAAAATAAAATGATCTTTATTTTCAATATATAAGATCCTTATATAAAATATAAATATTTTATCGTTTTATTTTCTTGTTTTAGAAATGTTTTTTATTGAAAAATCAATAAAACTAACTCCAAAATAAAATTTTTGATTTAAAGACACTATGATGACACCAGGCAAATCTTCCAAGACACCTATCGTCGGGAATCTAACAACCCTAGCTAGTATTCATAATCAGGAACTAGTATATAGACTTAGTCAAACATATATTTAAAGTTTGATATAAAAGGAATATAGATAAGACTCTTACTATTGATTGAAACTTTTGATAATTTTTATTAAAAAATTTAAATTTTGTAATTAAAAGTGCATTTTTAGACTGAAAATAGATTTTATAGCAATACCAAATCTATAATTTGACTTAATTATATATAAAGAAGTTGTTTATTGAACAGGAATTGATAAAAAACAGATATTTAAAGATTTGTTTCAATATTTGGGCATAATAATTCAAAGATTAATAATCATTACTTTGCATTAACAATTAACAAGATACAAATTAATGAATTTCATTATAAATTCATGATAACACAGAATCATCTCATATTTTGAATCAAATTATAAACCAAATACATATGATAATCAATCAATATATCTTAAAATCAATATTACAGAAGTAAACAACACATTTTTATTAATAAAATTCGGAAATAAACAAAAATTTTTATTAAACAGCTTTTGTTGAAGCATTGAGGACATAAGTTAAATTAGTTGGTTGATCAGGGATATTAGTTGGTACAATGAAGTTAAATTTCGCCATTTGTTTATCAAAAATGTGAATTTCTCCTGTACAACCCTGGAGATTTCCAACTTTGAGTACTTTCTTGAACTTTTTCAGATCAACGAGTGCTTCTGCTTCTTCCATCGTGGCCTGGTCAGTTTCGCCTACGATTTCAAGTCCAGAGAAGCTTGTTTCGACTGTAACGGAATCACTTTCGATGTAGAGCTTGAATTCTCCTTCTTTCGTCGCTTTCAAAGTCACCATTTGATTAATATCTTTCATTTCGTTCACCCAGTTAATTACTTGCCTGATTTGAGGGAATCTTACGGATACTGATGGTGTTCCCCATTCAGGTTCTTGGTAATCTTCTGTTGCTCTGGTAGATAATAAAACAACTGCAACTCTTTGTAACAATTGCTTAGTAGAATCATTACTACGATGATCAAATTGAAGCGTATTAGTATCTCCTTGCCTTGTAAGTGACATATTTATTGTTGGTGCCGCATCAACAGTTAATGCTTGAGCAAGTTGCTTAGAATTGCATTTTAATGTAATGATATCGTCATTTCTGGATGATACTTGATACTTGGAGAAGCATAATTGGACGCTGCATCCGATCCACAATGCAATTTGATTAATTCCTTGAGAAACAACAAGAGAAAGTGTAGTTTTGGAGAAGTGCAATACAACTTCACCTCCACATGCTGATAAAACACTGACAAGTTGCGAAAAAACTTCAGTATTTACTGTTGCAAGAAGTCGCATAACGAAAGTGAACTTCCCCGAAAAACGATAACAATTAAAATTTTGCATCCGAATAAGTACTCGATTCCATATGGAGGGACTGATGTGGTCGTGATAGACCTCATGACATCATAATTGAAGCCAACAGTGTCATTATTATTGTTAGTTCGAAAATTGAGAAGCAGTTTTCTGAGGACTGGAAGTATCCAAGACTTCTATATCATAGAAATAAAATCCTTTAGTATATACCCTGCTAATATACTTTTCAATATCATCAATATCTTTACTACAAATGAAGTTATGAGCAATACTCGAAATAGCGTCACGGGGGTTTACGGATTTTTTTCCTATCGTCGTAAAAATACGGAAAGTACATCAGTAAAGGACGATAGAAAGTGATTTTAGGAATGGTTAGCAATTGGACCAATCTGATTATGCCCATGATCAAGAAAGACTTTGGGTATGAACATATTGTGTACATGTATACATTTACAACTTATATAACTGATTCATTATCTGATTAAGCATATATGCTAAATTGATGAAAGTATGATCTTAATTTGTTCAGATTAAGATCAGTATATAGTTAATTACCTAATTTATTAGGCTTCTCAAAAAATATTGAAATAATTTGTGTGTATAATCATTTATTTACGATTTATCATAATTTTATTGGTGTACTTTTTTATATTTTACTATTATTATTAATTCAACTTGTTGAAATAAAAAAAGAATATTAAAAATTTGTCTTTTATGCATTGGAACCTAGAATAGTAATATACAGTTTGAGTAAATATGAAATAGGCTTAGGAAAAAGTGATAGGTATAAAGAAATTACTATAAGAATTTTTTATTCATAATTGTAAAAAGATAATTGGTAGTATAGTTTAAATTTGGAAGTCTTTCAATGTATGAGCTGCATAAGTAAAATTTGAATGGAAATTGTTACAAGAATTTTTTAAATTTGTATTTTGTTCAGAAAGACTTGAGTATTTGTTTCTTATTGCTGGTGAGGATCTGGATTCGACTGGAAATGAAGGATTTGCTCTTTGATAAAATGTTGATAAAATTTATGTTAAAAAATTACTTGCGATATGTAGAGTAATCCTAAATATTGATTCTGCTAATTGTAAGATTAATAAATTTGAAGAAAAATCTGTTTTGAGTGATAATTTGATGAAGATATTCGAATTGTCATAAAATTTCGTAATGAATTATAATCTTTTAATATTTGTAGTGAATATGATTAGTTGAGTGTCTTAATTGCGAGTAATATAGAAAAATGTTATTTTTTTTGTAATTTGTGAAATAGTGATAAGTAATAATAGATGTATTGCGTGTTATATGTTGTTGATGTCAATATCCCGCTATTAACATTATTGTTACTTGATATTAGAATAAAAATGATTGGTTTCATCATTATTCTATAGTTTATGTATCATCGTTATTATAATTCTAAATAGGATTACTAATATCAAGGTGATATTTGTTAATTTCTATAAAGGTGCTAGAAAGCTAATCATTTGTCAAATTTGTGTGAATAGGCATCATCCATGATGGAATTGGGTTATTTGGCGTGGGTCTTTCGAGGAGATCTTTAGTTGGAGTTGGATAATCCAGAATGAAAAAATTATAAACGTTCATTTTTGTTCAAGTTTTATTTCTTTCATCTTTAGAAAGTTTTTATTCTATCTCATTGTTTTTAATGGTAATATAATCGTATTTTCAAAAATTTGTGGAATAATCAAATTTGTTATTTCAAATTGAAGTTATAGCATTTATATTGTAAGAAATATAGATACACATCATGTAGGCTTAAATTATTCTTTATTGAAGTCTGTTACTCAAATTTTAAATTGAATTTGTTATTATTGTGGTAAAAAATCAATTCAATTATCGATACCAAAAATAATTTTATTTTCTAATGTGGAATCGATTGAAAAAAAAAAAAAAAAAAAAAAAAAAGGTAGTGGGGCTTCCAGGCACTTCGTGCCTTCTAGCCCTGATGTTGATGTTTAGTATAAATGAAGTTTTTATTCGGAAAATTGTTAGTCTTCTGGGTCGAAAACATTATATATAATGTGTCGCTTTTCACAAATTATATATGTTTTCATGTTTTGTTAAGACTTCTTCGTAAATGTTTTGTCAAGACTTCTTCGTAAATGTTTTGTCAAGACTTCTTCGTAAATGTTTTGTCAAGACTTCTTCGTAAATGTTTTGTCAAGACTTCTTCGTAAATGTTTTGTCAAGACTTCTTCGTAAATGTTTTGTCAAGACTTCTTCGTAAATGTTTTGTCAAGACTTCTTCGTACATGTTTTGTCAAACATGAACGTAAATGTTTTGTCAAGACTTCTTCGTAAATGTTTTGTCAAGACTTCTTCGTAAATGTTTTGTCAAGACTTCTTCGTAAATGTTTTGTCAAGACTTCTTCGTAAATGTTTTGTCAAGACTTCTTCGTACATGTTTTGTCATGATTTCATCGTAAATGTTTTGTCAAGACTTCTTCGTAAATGTTTTGTCAAGACTTCTTCGTAAATGTTTTGTCAAGACTTCTTCGTAAATGTTTTGTCAAGACTTCTTCGTAAATGTTTTGTCAAGACTTCTTCGTAAATGTTTTGTCAAGACTTCTTCGTAAATGTTTTGTCAAGACTTCTTCGTAAATGTTTTGTCAAGACTTCTTCGTAAATGTTTTGTCAAGACTTCTTCGTAAAATCAGACAAAAATAATGTTTAGGTGAAGAGGTGAGATTTCACCTGTTTTTTCACCTAATTTTTCACCCTCTTGAATTTTCATGAATTTTACACCAAAAATAATGTTTAGGTGAAGAGGTGAGATTTCACCTGTTTTTTCACCTAATTTTTCACCCTCTTGAATTTTCATGAAATTTACACCAAAAATATACTACTAGGGTCATTTACGAAGAAATCTCAACAAAGTCTTTACGATGAAATCTTGACAAAACATAGACAAGAAAGTTCATGAGAAATTAGATGAAGAAGTCTTAACAAAGTCTTTACGAAGAAATTCATGAAAATTCAAGAGGTGAGAAATGAGGTGAAAAAAGAGGTGAAATCTCACCTCTTCACCTAAAATATATTTTTGGGTCATTTACACTCATTTACGAAGAAATCTCAACAAAGTCTTTACGAAGAAGTCATAACAAAGTCTTTACGAAGAAGTCACAATAAACATCTGTCAAAAACCGCTTTTTAACTTCACTTAAAATGCCACGTAAGCTACGTAAGAATATACGTAAGAGGAAGAGAGCATTGAAACATCCAATAGTAAAACTGACACCACAACAACAGTTGCAACAACAAATGATGAATGACCCCACTATGTTGCAACAAATGTCAAGCAACCCTATGCTTTTAAACCGAGTTATTGGTGCACAGAGTGGAGGTTTAAGAGCGGCACTTTTAGCGAAAATGGCAGGCTATGGTGGAGCTGCAGACGGAACAGCTTATAACCCTCAAAGTCAAATGAATTTGAGTTCACTCAAAAATCAAATAACAGATGTCAAAAAGTCAAACATAGACATACAGAAGCAAATAAGTGAAAACGAAAAGAAACTAGAATATGACAGACACACAAAGAAACTCAATGAGTTAAACGTAGAGAAAAAGAAGAAAGAAGAACAACTGAAAGAACTAAGTACAGAGGAATATGCGAAAAAAGTGTCAGAAAAAGCAGCAGAAGTAGCAAAAATGGAACAAGATGTTATAAATTTGAAAAACCATACTACTCAATATAAAATACTGAAAGATGAAGAGATAAAACAAAAAGCCCTGAAGACATATATGGATAGCGATGAGTATAAAAAAGAAGTTGAAGCAAATGTAAAGGCAGAAAAACTTTTACAGTTGCAAAACCAAACCGTACAGTATGAAAACTTAGCACAAGAAAGTAAAAATAACGACGCGGCTATGCAAAAGGCAATGAAAAGCGCAGAATATATAAAAGCCAACAATGACTGGTTAGATGCCCAAGCCAACGCTAAAGCAGCCCAACTCATAGGGTCAATAAGGACAAAAATACAAGCGGATGAAGACAGTTCAAATGAAGCTTTAATGAATGCTGACTTTAAGAATGCCTTCGAAGCTCTTCATAGTAAGGTGAAACAAGTGAACGACTTCTCATCTGGAAAGAAACTGAAGTCTGAAGGTTTCGACAAAGAGTTAAAAGAAGTAGCACAAAATATGACGAAAATAACAGATGCAGCAACGAGACAGGCAGTTCAAAGTGCCTATGACGCCGTTAGAGCAACTGTTGTGAAAAGTCAAGAAAAAGAGTTACAACAGACCAAAACAGACCTAGTAAATGCTTTCTTAAGAACGAAAAGTCAGGTAGGACATTACGCTGCAGATGGAACATATGTGCCAGCTGGTGGAACTTATATACCAGCTGTTGGAACTTATATACCACCAAACCCTCCAAGAGAAGCACCTGCACCAGGACTACCTAACACATTTACATCGTCACATGGACACAGACACAGGCATGCACCAAAACCAACACAACAACCAACAGTTCAAAACCCTGCACAACAACCAACAGTTCAAAACCCTGCACAACAACCACCTCCACAACCAGAGCAAGGACATAAAAGAAGTAGAGAACAAGGAAACCAAGAATTCTTAAAAATGCTTAAAGAAGAGTGTGGTTTCCCAGATACTGTTGACTTTAGTGACAGATATAAAGAAGCTATTGGAAAGTTCAAGGATGGAAATACTGACCCGAACCTATTTAGCTTTATGGCTCAGCACCAAAACGGATATAATCTCAAACCTGGAAAATACAAGCTCGCTAAGGGATATGATTTAATAGCATATCATCCAAATGACATGAACGAATTTACTCCGAGATATTTGATGTCAGAGCTAAATGACAATTCAACTTTCGTCATGAAACGCGTAAAAAATAGAGACGGAACGAAAGAACAAAAGCTTATGAATGCGGATGACGTAGATAGGGAAATTGTTAAAAACGGTCTCGGAATATATGAAATGCCAGCAGATGAGGTACAAGAAACTCCACAGGAAGAAATAGTTCAGATACAACCAGACATGGAAGAAATAGTTCAGCAACAACAGCTAGAAGAGCCTGAAGGAAACGAACAAGTCCTTCCTTTGGAAACTAACTTCACAGAACTAGATGAAGATTTGGAACAGCCGAAAAATCTTGACCCTCAACAAGAGTATGCGGAGAATATGGAATATTTCCAAGAGTCTAAAAAAAATTCGGCTGACATAGTAGAAGAATATCGAAAAATGTTTGCCGACATACAAAAGACTCCAACACCAGATGAAAATATTCAGCATAGAATGAAAGTACTGAAAGAAAATGTACACAAATACAACAACCCTTTTTACTTACGAGCATTTAACGTTCAATCTTCGGATGAACTCGGTGAAAATAAAAGGTTAAATTTCAAGAAAACATATAGAAATGAAACATTGTTTAAAGTTCATTCAGAACCTAACCAAGATGGAAACAAACCTACTTTTGTTTCTGCAGACGATGGAACTACAATGAGATGGGGTCATAAAGCTAATCCAGATAGGTGGTTCATAAACTTACAACCACAATTCCAAGAAGTTGTAGACGCAATGGAAGTCAATGGTGAACCAGATATAGCTGGTATTTTCAGCGCGGCTTTAATGCCATTGAAAGATATGAAACATGCAGATATTTTGGACCAGTATGAAATGAACATGGCTGATGGAAATATAACACCTGACGTTCTAAAACATTTATCTCAAAGAACTACACAGAACCATAGAGATGGTATATTTGGTGAAGAGTTTAGAAAGAAAGTTAGGGAGGGCGAAGGAAGAGAACCTATTGTACATGACCTTGCAAACGAAAGTTTACAAAATGTCATAAAAACTTACTTTGCAGACAATGAAATGAGAAGGGATGAATATTTAAGAAAACTCAAATGGACAGTACCAAATGAAATGTTAGTATTGAAAAACATGTTCCTTGACAAAATAAAACCAACTACAGAAATAAACGACGCAAGACTGAAAGATTGGGTAAAAGCTTTCCCATTCACAAAAGATATAGTTGGTAACATGGAAAGAAAACCAGAATGGCTACAAAAACATATATTTGGAAACGAGCTTATTCCATATGGACAGGCACTGTTTGAAGAGCTTGAACCAGAAACTCAGGAAAGAGTCATGCAAACAATACGCAAAGACTCAAATACAGACTATGACAAACTCTTTCTAGGATATAGGTTACCTGAGATGGGCGACCAGAGCCAAAAGGCAAAAAGACATGGGAAATTTGCAACATACTAGATGAACATAATGCAAAGATGCAACAACTTCAAGCAGAGGGCAATGAAGGAAAAAGAAGAGTTAAAAACTCAGTCAGGAAGAAAGTAAAGCTTGGTCCACGTGGGTTCTATTATGACATATAAATCCAACTATTCTATATTTTTACTCATATGAAATGTACGCCGCTCAGAAATAACGCCAACAGTTTTTGGATGCTATGAATGGAAATGTTTCCGAATGGTATAACGAATGCGACAATGCCATTAGAAGGTCAGAAATAGTTCCTGGAACTTACGAATATACAACTGCTGTTTCTTATGGAAATGTAGGTGAGTTTGGAGAAGGTTCTTCAACAACAGTAGATATTGCTTGCGACAGGTTTCATATTATTTCTATTGACAACTCATTCTTATACGTGGAACAAGACATTGAAATAAAACCTTCTGCCAAGTTGTCTGACAAGAAAGGTTGCAATGGAATTTTCTATGTCGGATACCAATATGCTCCAGAAGTTTTCATGGGATATAAGATATATTCTAACTCTGACTTAGTTCAAACAGTAAACATGGGCAAACTATGAATGGTTCGCTTTAAGAAACTCAGTACAACCACAAGCTAGAGAACAAACAGACCAGTATGCAACTATTGAGAAAATAAGAAGACTTGACCCTAACGTTCCAGGAGTTATGTTAACCTTTCTGGACAAACTCAGCAGCAGTAACCAAAGTAAAACTGAAACTTAGAGTTCCTTTGTCATCTTTCCTCATCTTCAGGTTTTTAAGATACTTGCCAAACTGGGCAGGAAAAATTTCTATCGAACTTACTCCAAGCAAAAATAACTTAGTCATTGCACCAACACAAGACCCATTCACTCTTACAGAAGTAGTGGGAACAAATAAAATGTCATTCGCCGACTTTTGCAAAAACAAAGTTGACTTAGACTTTGGTTTCTCAAACCTCAACACTGAAGTAAACTATTATTTCAATGCTGCTGGAGATGCTTGGGACCCAGTTAAGTTCACATGCGAAAAATTTGAATGCAAGAGAATAGAAAGCAGACTTGCAGTCTATATGTTGGACCCAGATATTTCAAATGCTTTAGCTGCCAAATAATTGCAGTTCCACTTATGTTCCCTATACACCAAATATCTGTCAAAGACTTTGCAGGTGAAGTTGGAAACCAAAGTGCTGACCCAGGTGCAAGAACAGATATTGCTTTAACAACTGCAATGAAACATGCAGATACTATGTTTGTACTGTTCAGACGAACTATAAATGACTATTCTTGTTTCTACAACCCTGGTATTAAATATCATATAAACATAGATGGCAAATACTATCCAAGAGAAGAATATTCTACAGTTGAGGATATGAGGTCATACAACTTGACATTAGATGCTATGAACTTTAACAACAACTTCACAACAACCATTAACCCTGAAATGCAAAGTTCTATTATGCCATATGTGAAAGTATGGACTCATACAGGAGGTCAAAAAACTCAATATACAAATGGAGACCGTTCAAACTTTGGCTTGGCATTCCATTTGCTGACTCAGAAGACTTTATGGGTGGTATTTCAACTGTTGGTACAGTTCAAATACAATATACTGGTGACAGAGACGGTCCAGATGAACTGAGAGCAAAGAAGTTTACAAAACCAATAGCACTTTTCACGGAAGATGCTCTTTTGAAGATTCGTTCGATGAAACCTGCTGGGGCTCCTCAGATTGGTATAACGACAGCTTCCATCGAGCAGATTTTGGCAGCAGGTCAGTAAGTTGTTCTTGAACTGACTTCTCTCCGTCAAATATTGACAGTACGCCAGTTTTGATATATATATTGTATTAAAAACTTTCCTTTAGAAATATCGGTCAGTTTTGTTGTTATATTTGTTGTCTGCTTCAAGAACTTTCACCATTTCAGTTATACCAACTTTCTTTGCTTTATGAAAATATTTGGTTCAGCAAAGACTGCTATTCTATAACATTTTCCATTGTTTGTATAAAGAACTACTCTGTCAATGTATTTGTATTGTTTGTGTGGTGTAAACTTTGTTCTGCTTCAATTCGAAGAGATACTCGAATACGTCCATCTTTTTTTCTAAGTAAATGTCATTTCCGAAAAATAGAAGCGTAAGTGTTTCAAAAGGTTTAATGGCGGTGGCAGATGTGAAGTTAAATTCACCAACTCAAACAAACAGTCAAAGTGTTGTTTGTCAATGTCAAAGAAAGAGATGTTGAAGTGGGAAACCATACGAAGACCAAGATGGTATAACAATAGTTCCTGTAAAAGAACAACCAATACCCTGAAGTTAGCAGAGACTTAAGTTCTGTTGCAGATATTCGAAATGACTACCAACAACTTAAAGACAAACTTAAAACTCAGGAGAAGATTTGTCAAGCTTTGGGTATAATGTTAAACTTGGTCGAGCACAACCCTGTAAAAGTGAACTCATATGTCATCGCACCTCATGAAATTTTGAAAGAACTATTGAAACTTTTGACAGAGGCAGACGATATAAACATCAAAGAAATAGAACCCGACATTGCTTGCTGTGGTGGTTTCATACAATGTCATTGACAAGATATACGTTATGAAAGGAGGTGAAACGTTGAACTTAAAATATAGTTTCCCAGACGTCATAAAAATATTTGACGACCACAACATTTCATTAAAGTTTGTTTGCTAAGTAAATGGCAGAAGACATAGTGGTTTTATACTATTACGACTAAAAACCCTGAGTCATATAATTCTATAACAACAAACTTACAAAGTCCTCAAGGACGATATTGTAAACTGACCTTAAACACGATGACGACTAAAGCCTGTTTTGCTCTTTTGACAGCCAGAAAGACTTTGTTGTTGTGAATGGTAAAAAAATACTTCTTTGAAGATACTTACTCAGATATACCACCAACAGGTTTTGTTGACTTATTTAATACTTTAAGGACGAGTGTAACATGTGCTGCAACTAGAGCAGGTTTCATTATGTTTGGATGTCCGACTGAGTTTACTATAAACAATATGAGCTATAATACAAAACTTATATCTGGTTTTTTACTACCAACAGTTTCCTATAACAGGAAAAGGTGTCATACAAGGAATGTCTGTTCCATTGACTTTAAGTACACCTATTTATATATGTTTCAAACTTAGGTTCAAAGTGCTATTCGAATGTTGACAGAAACTACTATGACCAAAAGATACTCATGCGTATAAACAACACTTTCTCTGCTGGTTTGCCTATTGTTCATTCGAATGCAGAGTTTTCAACCTTAGTGAACTCAAACACTTTGGCAAGTATAACATTGACATTAGTTGACGCAAACTTTGTTCCTGTAAAACTTTTATGTCCTATGTATTTGTCAATGACGGCAGAAAGTTTCGAATTGGAAGATGCAACTGGTGAAAGTATTGTATTACAAGAACAACTTCAACAACAAATAGCTCAAGAACAACAAATGCAACAAATGGAACAACAAAGTCAAGAATAAAAAAATATTATTTTTTTTTATTTTTATAAAAATGTACAGAATAGATGTTTCAGATTTTTATGACTTCCAAGCATTCAGAAATATGTGTCCATTTCGAGACTATAACAAAGCAGTCGAGAATTTGAAACGTTTAGTCATTTATGTCGACTCTGCCCCAGAATGTTATGTTATGAAAGAATGGGATGTAGTCTTTAACAAACCTAAAGCGACAATAGTTTCAGAACAAGAATGTAGACAGAAACTTAAGAAAATAAAAGTTGTACAAGTTGGAATGAAGATGTTAGATGCTTGGGATATCTTATTGTCAAAGTTAGAAGATTTTTCAGTTCGTGGTATAAAGTTTTATACACCTTCTCCAAACTTCTATTCTATCTTCACTGGATATAAATATGAACAAGTAGAATGGAAAGAAAATATTATAGAAGCTTGGTTAGACCATGTCAAAGAAATTATATGCAATGGAAACGAAAAGGTTTATGAGTATATCTTATGTTGGTTTGCAAACATCTTACAACATCCAAGTGCTAAAAAATGAAACTGCTCTCATTATAATTGGAAAACAAGGAACTGGTAAGAATACTTTCTTTACAGATATTTTGTGCAAACTGTTAGAAGGTTATTCGAACCCTAATATGACAAACTTAGAAAACATCTGCGGTAAATTTAACTCTTCAATTGAGAATATGAAACTTATAGTTTGCAATGAACTTCAAAGTATAGATACAACAAAAGTTTTAAACTCAGATGCTTTGAAGAGTCTTATAACAGACAAAGTTGGAGTTGTTGAAAGAAAGTATAAAGACCAAAGAGTTTGTGAAAATGTTGCAAACTTCATTATGGTTTCAAACAATGCTGTTCCGATGAAGTTAGAAAGTTCTGACAGAAGATATGTAGTTGTCAGAACGTCAGATTCTCATATGCAAGATACTGAATATTTTGACGCTTTGTCAGAATGTTTGACATCTGACTTTTACAACCACTTGTTCTCATATTTCATGACATTAGATATTTCTAAGTTCAATCCAAGACAAATTCCACATACCGAAGAGAGACAAACATTGTTAGAAGCAAACAAGAGTGTATATGAACTGTTCATAGATGAAACTGACTTTGTGTCATTAGATGAAAAGTCTTTATATGATGAATATAAACAATATTGTCAAGAATATGGTTATATGGCAGCTTCTAAACGAACATTCTTGGCAAATGTCAAAAGTCTTTTAGACGTTCAGAATGGTGTATATACAAAGAAAAATTTTTCTGAGTAAATTTTAAAAAAATATTTTTTTATCCGATAGAAAAGATGACGAAATATATTTCAGTCAACAAATATATGTCAGGACTTAAAGAAGAACTAGAACCATTCACATATTTGAATGTTTACTTCTACCATTTTGAAAAGTCTACATTTGACAAAGTTTGGAACATCGAACCAGTTAAGTTTGCTGTCGTGACTAAAAACGGTGCGAAATTTGAAGACTTAGACATAGAAGGTTTGTTAGCAGTCAAAGAAAATTTTGACAGAAGGTTCTCAAACCTTAAAGAAGGCAAAGCATACAAACTTGTTATACCTTATGAACCAAAGAAAGCAGACGACTATGAATATTATGAGTCTAAGATAGTTGAAGTTCAAGGTAAATTGGGTAAAAAGATTTTAGAGTCTAAGCCAGTGTTTGCTCCTAAAGAGGAAGAGAACATTGACATTGACCCAGAAATGTTCTAAAAATAAAATTTTATTTTACATGTCAAATTTCTTCTTCTCTGGCTCTGGTTCTTTCTTCTCTTCTTCTACTTTTTTTCTTTTCTTTCTTTCTTTCTCTCTTCTTCTTCTTTTCTGGTGGAGTTATGTCAAATTTCTCAGAACCATATTTATGTAAAAGTTCTTTGTCCTTTAATAGCTCTTCTATTCTGTTTTCTATTTCATCTTCAAGAACAGCGCATGTGCCTTCTTTGCATTCTAAGAACTTTTGTTGGACTTCATCTTTCCAATCGGCGTCATCTCTGTCAACAAGTCTGTCATGACAAACTTAAAGACTTCTCTGCCTAATGTTTATGGTTCTTGTCATATTCCAGAAACAGAACTTTAGAACAAATTCACCTTTCTTGTTACACTATGTAAGATTTATGGTCGACAGATGTTTTAGAGTCGAAAAGCTTGTCTCGAATATAGATAGCGAAATCGCTAGACATTTTCAAAAAGATAAAAATTTTAATTTTTCTAAA